CCTAATATAGTATAGGTATTATATTAGCTCTTGATATATATACATAATATCGGAATACATAATACATATACATAATATACATAATATAGGTATTATATTAGCTCTTGATATATATACATAATATCGGAATACATAATACATATACATAATATACATAATATAGGTATTATATTAGCTCTTGATATATATACATAATATCGGAATACATAATACATATACATAATATACATAATATAGGTATTATATTAGCTCTTGATATATATACATAATATCGGAATACATAATACATATACATAATATACATAATATAGGTATTATTAGCTCTTGATAATATATATATAGCACAGTGCCACTTTATTATTATAACTTATTATGCCACATGCAATATCGAATATTGATGATTGAATAAAAATGAATAAAATCTAATTTAAAAAATTAATATTATCCCAAGATATAGTTCTTAAGTTTTTCTAAAGATTGTTTTCAATAGAACTTTCATAATTATACATTTTTCACAGATATTAGCGCAACCTCCATTGAGTTCCCGCAGAAGACGTCCCCTAACACGAGGCGGCGTTACTAGAAACCCCGGAAACACAAAAATCGCCGAAGTGTCGTGTCTTGTTATTCTTATGTCTTAGCCCGACAAGGCTGTGCGACGGATTGTCTATATAGGGTATTCTAACCCTAGCAATACCGTTTCTTGGAGCTACTTATGTATATGCCAGTACCTACAGCTGATGACGGTGACCACTTACCTCCGTGCTTCAGCGATGGTCCTGCCTCCAGCGGAATGATGAGCAACGGAAATATGCCGCAGAGTCCTACCAGCACCGAGGCGCAAAGGGAACACACCCACGCCTCGCTCTTGCCCCAGCGATGCCTGCCCTGCCACCACCATGAATTCTCGTCCTCGTCCTCATCCTCATCCGTGACGATATCATCCGTCTGTTCAGGGCTTCTCTGCGTGCCGTGCTCGTACAGCAGTGTTTTACCGGTGTGCTTGGCACGGTGAATCTCCGCCGTAGCTGTTAGTAGCAGGGTAAGCAGGCATAGAACAGCTGCGATCGTACGACTGATCGTAACACCGGCCATGTCCGTGCTAGCAGTGCGGCTTTCCCTCCGCCTCCTTTTCTCTCATTTACTCACTCTATCTTCTTTTCTCCCTCCCCTGTTGCTTGGCGAGTGAGTACGTGTGCGTATGCGCGTATGTAATTGTGTGTATGTGTGTGCATGCGGGTGTGTGTCCTCTGGCCCTCTGTCACTTGCTATCTCTATCTTTCTCTGTATGTCTTTTTATCCGTCGCTGTCTCTAATAGTAATACTCTATCTCTCTCAGTTCGTCGCTGTCTCTATCTATGTATGCCTCTCTCGTTCTCCTCGACTCTTTCTCGCCCTCTACTTGCGGCTCTCTCTTTCACCGTGCGCAAAATTCCTCCCTCCGTGACCTTCCTCCTGCACCGTCCCTGGTCGCCGCGCCGCTGTGTGAAGTTCCTGCCGCAGTGACAAGCCGAGCTAAACCATGGCAGACCGTTGTACACGCAGCACCCTAGCCTGTAACCTACAGTCGCTCTCTACGTAGAGGAACTTGAATATAATCACATAAAGATGCAGACGCCGCCGATAGTTTACTCATTGATCGTATAACTATCCCATACAAGCGGTTCTGCTTGCTATCGCTATCGACTCAGCAAACGTCGGCCGCTGTGGAGTACTGAAAGATGTGATGTGAGTCGCTCAGCAGTATACCCGACCCCGATTCGCCGCCACGGCCTCTGCCCCCTCGAAAAATCGACGAAAATCGGTGCAGCGTTCGCACTACCACCTGGTGGCAGGAAGCGTGCGAAATCAGAGATAATCAAACAACATCTATAGATGGCGAGATAGGTATAGAGTAGTGAGAATAGAGTGAGGAATAGAGTAGTATAGAGTACTGAGTGATGATACATAGTGATAGACGTACACTGCTATAATATTATCCTCTATTTTAGCAAGCGCTAATAAAGTAATAATACCTCTTATTATATAACAAGAGATATTATAAGCTCTTTATACGTCTTTAATAAATCCACATGACTTATTTCGCGACGTATGATATCCTACTGCGCTGCATTAGATGCATCCCAAATTTAGAGGGTAAAAATCTTTTAAATAAATGGTTTGACTGAATAATAGGCGTCCTAATTCTACGCATACAATTACCATCAATAAGGCCGCACGGTTGTTTTTCCCCCATAAATTTGATCATTGTCTCTATTTCACAAGCACTCTTCACGATTAGCGTTGGTTAGTATAAATACTGTAAGCTATCACGCAGAGGGAAACAATTTAAAGCACCGTAGCTAATAAATCTGAACTATAATAATGTTTGGAGGGATATCGTTTTTGGAAAAATATATTCTGAGAAAAAATGCGTTTTATAATTTACGAAATATGGTACATATATATTTTTATTGAAATTGCGGACTGTTGACAGCGCATTCTCAGGAGTGCATTGATATTTAAAAAACCTTTGCTGCAAACGCGCTACTATATTAATTACACGTGAAAAACCTTCAACTCCTCTTTAGAGCGTGCAATAAACTTTAGGAACACACCTATTTATGCGCATGCCTATTGTCTGCTAAAAGAAAATAAACTACAGTATATGTTAAAATTACATCATCGTTTGCATTTTAGCCTGTGCAGCACACTGCATTCACGGTAACCCCGTCTGTCAATTCTTTTCGACATTTCGCCATTTTGTGTCATTTTAGCAAAAAAACAGCGGACGCTAGTAGGCGTCGTGTTGCTGATCATTTTAGGTCGTCATTGCGAGGCGGATTTTGAACGCCGACCTTACTCCTGCGCTGCAGGTGACGACTGCGATGTAGGCATACTTCAACGGCACCTATAACTGCACCTGCCTGCGCCTCTCTCCCCTGCTCTCATGGCGGTGCCTTCTCGCCTGCGCAGGGCAGCTTCACGTGCGAGTGCGCATGCGCAGCTTTGCGGGGAGAGGCAGGCTGCAGAGTCGTTATAGATTCGTGCCGAAACGCCCCCTGTCTCAATTATGGTTAATGCTGCGCTCTGGGTCACGGCACGTCGCCAGTCGCATGCGAATATCTGCATACAGCTGCGGATGCAGCAACGACGACTACCACTTACGATGCGCTGTCGGGTAGCCATAGCGAGCCCGACCCGTGCGACCACAGCGCCATCTGTCGCGTGGCCGGTCGGCGAGTAATTAGTAGGCCATTAAAGTAAATAACCTAATTAAAATAAAATAAACGACCGAAAATACGCGTTCATTGCGTGTGTTAACACCAATTGTTCAATTTACTTCTATCAGCTTCTGGTCATTCATACCTAACATTTTTCTCTCTGACGCATTATAACAGCCCACACAGACAACAGCTGAAATACATTTTTCGTAAAAATCACACACAAAAAATCCGTTAAAATCTCTCCGCAGACAATCCGATGATGTATTTGCACACACGCAGTAGTCTTCGAGCAAACGCCACACGACGCGACGCCTGTTATTTCTAAATCTGCCTTCTTGCAGCAACTTTCCTCTGTATTCTATATCTCTGATATAGTGCCAATTATACAGCCCCACCTGGTGGCGTACAGCGCTCCCTGGCGGGTTCACGGGTATTTTGATACACCACTCTTTGGGTTTGGGCTATAATTGCAATTATACTCATCCATTTTATTTTATGCACGCTTGCACTAATATAGAGAGTCTCTATAGCACTATCTATATCAGTGCTCTCTATATAGAGAGCACTAAAAATACAGAAACCAACTTGTTGAAAATAAGACTTTGGCAGATATTCTTTAATTTGTTTTCTTTTTTCTTCTGAATCATATGACAGAGACTTGAGGAAGTATTCAAAACTTTTACATCGCGTAACAAAATAGCTTTGATATGCTGAAAAGAAGGGGGAAGTGCCATTGACATCATTCTGCATTAATATGCTGGTATCTGCATACGCAGGAAAATAACCGCAGACTATAAATTCCATTATTGGCTCCTTTTAGCTATTGCTTTGACTAATGCTAGCCGTGCTCATTTGTTGTGCCCTTGCACATTTTGAAATTACCAGCTGAAAACCCCAGACCCCCCGCACTGTGCTCCCGCCGCTTACACCGGCGGCCCACTTTTGGCCGGTGGGTCGTCCCTTTTTGGGGGCCATCAGGGGCCAGGGGAGGCTGCTCCTTAAAAATCATGGGGAAAAATACTGTCAAGCTTCAGCCCTGGATCCGCCCCTGGGATTTGTGGTCATTCAGTGCTTTCGTAATCGTGCGCCGTACAGGTTACTCAGTACTATACTAGTGTCAGTACTGTATGTATAATGTA